GCTCCTAGGCAAAATGAGAGATAAGAGAGAAATTTGTGTTTTGCAGGACATCATCTCTTGGAGAAGAGGAAGAGAAGAGGAAGAGAAGAGGAAAGAAGAAGAAATAAAGGGCATAGAGGACTAACAAACCCAAGAGAAATGTTGTTCTATGAACTAATTTACAACCTTGGTGGTCTTATGCTCTTTCTTACTATTCTTGAAACTTATGATCTTTGATTGAACATTGTGTAAACATTTGGTTTTACTCGAGGTCGAGTAAAGAAACTAAGTGTGGGGGAGTTGACATTCATGTTATTTCCATGTTTATGTTTGTGCTTTTGATTAGTTTTGAGTGATTATTACTCTAGAAATTACACACTTTTGGTGTAATAGTTTAGTTTGTAAAATGTTTGTAAATTGTTTAGATTAGATTTGTTCTGAGCTCAAACAGGTCCAAGACCACTCTAGGGACCATTGGTGAACATCACAAGTGGAAGGAAGGTGCAAAAATTCCAAAACAAAATGAAGATCCTGATTTTTGGTATTGTACCCGGTCGAGTATACCCTATACTCGATCGGGTAAGTTGCTGAAAAGTCAAATCGAATCAACCCGGGAACAAGGCAACATGCAGGAAGATTTTTAACTCGATCGCGTATCCATACCCGATCGGGTAGCCGACATACCCGATCGGGTATGACCCCAGATTTTCAGTTTCGAGGAAACTAACCCTTACCCGATCGGTCGAGCTGAAAACCCGATCGGGTACACGACCCTGCAAGCCTAAAAAGCCTATAAATACACCCCATTTCCTCCACATGAAAGGCACCAATTCCTTTATACTCTTAAGCTCAGTTTAGAATAGCATTTCTCTATATTTCTTTTAGCATGTTTAGTCTCCAAATGAGGAGCTAAACTTCCATTTCTTGGTTTTGCTCTTGAAGCTTGATTGATTATTAAAGTTGTGAGTTATTTTCTTACTTTCTCTTCTTGATTATTAATTCTTCCCTTAATCTCATTTTATATCATTGTTGGAGGGTGGCTAAGTGACGATTAGTTAACGTTCCGACATTGATTATTACTAGAAACGTTCAACGAACCGATGGTTAAACGTTGAAGGTTTCATAAGTAAGTAACTTCGGTTTATTAATGCACGGTCGTGGTTAATAAACTTAAGAGGGATTAATTTTGTTGGTTAAACCGAAACCGTTGTGTTGAGGTTATCAATCTCAATTGATTTCATCAAGGAGTTAAAGAGGTTAAATGCTACTATTAAATCGGTATACGGCGTTGTTCTATATTTGGTTAATAGTAAGGGTTATTAATGAACGGTCGTTGTTAATAACTACCCTCGATGAATTGGATATACTCCTCGATTGAGTATTCGAGAGGGGATAAGTTATAGATATAACAATGATCGACTAAAATATATCAACAAGTGGAAAGTAGCAAGACCAAGTCCCTTTTATTCTTGAATTTAATCCCATATAACTCGTTCATCTTCGTGTTTTATTTAATTAAATCACTCAACAATCAAAACCCCCCTTCATTTACTATTTATATAAAAAGAAAGTTAATCCTTTCCCTGTGGATACGAACTCTACTACGCTATACTACGTATTAGTGCTAGTATTGAAATTTATTTTGAGTGCACCTCACGACAAGTGCACGTCAAAGAACATGCATAAAAAAATCATCAAAAAATTTCAACGTGAAGACCTTCTCATAGGCAAGTTCGGACGGGGGCTTCCCGTCAGAACTACCTGATCATTCCTCAACTTTAACTTTTTTCAGACCATCACCAAACTTACATATACTAGATCAAAGTAGACTAGTTCATCTCAAATCAGAGTAAATAAAATCCTGTACAAATGAAAAGTTGCTGAATCAATAAAGGAGCTGGAGGTCTTTTGTAAGATGGTTAAATTTATTATGCAGTTTTAGCATAAAGTGGACTATACCATTTTAATGTGAAGTTAAAAGTGTGTTTGTGGTGCTTACATTATATATGATAACGTTGTTAAGCGTCTCCTAAATTAAATTTATAACTTCTATGGAAACTAGGAACCCTCCTGTACATGTTTAATTTGCGTATTTTTTATTGATCTAGATTCGTGATTTATGGTTTACTTGGTACCCAAACTTGAATTGGTGTTGTTAAATCTTCATATTCCACTGTTCTTAATTAATCAATCTTGATGATTGTGGTCATTATTCAGCTGGGGAATTACAACTCCTTGGAGGCGTAATCTATTGCAGGCCACACTTTGACCAGGTCTTCAAAAGAACTGGAAGTTTGGACAAAAGCTTCGAAGGTATAAGAGAAATATTTGAAGAACAAAGAAAGATCTTTTACACTCAAGTAACATCATTCTATCCAGAACAATGAAAAAACAAATATAAGGTATTGTACGCATGTGCGCTGCTAACACGTGTATTGTTCACGCGTGAAATTTTTTAATTTAAAATTTCACAGAACTGTGTCGTTTTGGGCGTGGAGCATGGTGCTCACCGTGGAATAATCCCATGGTATATGAAGTGTTGCACAAGAGGGAACGAGAGAGGCAGATTTAGAGATAACCACATATCTTTATTACTCATTGTACATATGCAATCAAAAACACGAGTGAAATATAAATTTAAAGATAGTAGCATTCTCTCATCCCTAATAATTCTAATAATTACAATACTATCCCTCCAAACTAAAAAAGAAAAACAAATAAGAAAAAGTATAACTCAGGAATATATCATATCCAGTTATTTTTTATATAAAATTCACTTACACTCATGTTTTTCCCTGTGTTTTGTACTACATTCAATACTCTTATAAGACCAATTGAATTAGAATTGGAGAATTGTTTCAGGTGTTAATATTGTTTTAACATAATTTCGCACGTTTAGAATGCTGATTTCAACGGAAATTATGTATGACTGAATTTACATTTACATTACAATGAGAGTGTTTGGTAAATAACTTTTTAATTTTGGTGTTTGCCACGGAAAAGCCATAAACGAAAAGGCACTAGTACTACAAGTAGCTAGCTTTTCACAACGGCTTTTTATGCTACTCGTATAATTTATAATTCTAGTACACACTCCCATTTTAGCCCATTTATTAATTATTTAATAATTATTGAAAAAGTGAAATAAAATGAAAATAATTACGACTACTTAATAAATATAATTGTGAGTATAATTCATATTTTACATGTAACATTCTCAAAATTTTCATTCTAAAAGGGATAAAAAATTATTAAATGAAAAATTATATTTTTGTAAGTGATTTAGCTATTTCAATTATACTAAAATAACGTATTATTAAGAGATTGAATTGGATCAATTCAACCAATAAATATTTTTAGAAAATCAAGAATTGAAGAGAGACATGTGCTAATTAAGAGAGCAATATACTCATATAACACTAAGAATAAACCATGCATGCTAAGGCAGTGTTTTGGTTTGCTTTTGAAAAGCACTTTTGGCTTTTTTAGAAAAAAAAAATCCATTTGGAGTGTTTGCAAAAGGGAGCTTTAGCTTTAAAAAAAGTGATTTTGGATTAAAAGCTGGAAGCTGCTCCCAGTATGCTTTTATCTGCTTTTTTTGGTTTTATGGTAATTAAAGCCAACATTAAGGATAGTTATACCATTCCATTTCCCCCTATACCCAACTTTACCCTTGTCAATCATCCCGATATCTCTGTCCCAGACTCGCAGCCTCCCTCCATATCTCTTTCTTCTACATCTCTGTGTCGCACATCCGCATCGAAAAGTTGAGTCGTGAACGCTGCTCTAGCTAATTAAAGATCAGCTCCCTTTCCCCATCGAAACGTTGTTTCACACATCCCCATAAAAAAGAGAGCGATGATGTCTGTATTGCAAAACTCCATACTTATATGGCTTTATAAATAAAGAACCCAGGGAGATTTTCCCTTCGTAATTGTCACTAACCTCTTTAAAAGAGGTATTGCAAATAATCTTGGAGATTTTGATTTTTTACTTTGAATTTGGAAAATTATCTTGGAGGAGAAGTGGAGAACCGTGTGTCTGAGAAAGCTATGTCGCAGGGGAGGATATTTTTGTACATTCCCAAAAATATAATATCGCAATCACTTTTTTCCCAAACATTTCAACTTTAACTTTTCACTTTAATCACTTTTATTCTAAAACACTCTCAACTTTTATCAATAATCACTTTTTCAAAAATCACTTTACAAAATCACTTTTTTAAAAGTTAAGCAATAGCAAACATAGCCTAAATAGAGATATGGAGCTTTAAGGGGGTGTTTGGATCTGATTCTTAAAACTGCTTCTGCTCCTTCAAGGAGCAGAAGCAGAAGCTGAGGTGTTTGGGTGAAAGTGCAGAAATGATTCTGGTACTCTAATTTACTCCTAGAATTAGTTTTTTTAGAAGTTGGGGGATCAGCTTCTAAAAACTTATTCTAATTCTGGTTTTACTTTAAAAAGAAGCAGAAGCAGATCAATTCTAAACACCCCTAAGTAAAGTAGAAGAAATAGTGAAGTGGAGATATTTCAGCCTAGTGGAACAAAAAAAGGAGAAGAAAGGAAAGAAAAGGAGGTTAAAAGGTTAAAAGGAGAAGAAAGGAAAGAAATGATGGAAATTTATCAAAATTTAAGGTTTGTGCTCATTCCCTTCTAAGATTTTATGTTATATCACTATGTGATATTCCAAATGTGATATTCCAAAAGTTTATTGTTATGCTTTACAAATTTATTTATTTCTTAAATGGGATGATAAATATTTAATTATACTGTTATTATATTTATACGAGTAATAATTAAGAGATGTGTAAATTTCTAAGCAAGCATGGACCCTTTTGATAGAAATGATAAATGCTCTTAACGAAATGTGTCATTGTGTTAAGGCGTGTCTCATTTTACTATCTCATATTTGAAGTAACACGTATGTAAAATAAAAAAGACCACCTGGATTGACAAGACAATATAATTAGTCAATATACATATGCTAAATTCAGGATTGAATGTTAATTAAATAAATAAATTTACGGAAAAGCAAAGCTTGCAGGTGGGTTAAATTTATGGAAGTGGGTATGATCCATGATTCCATGCTAATAATGGACATTCGAATCCCCCAATTTGGCAGAATGAAACAAAAAGATCTTATTTCAGAATGAAGCTCAAACTAATCAGCACAATCAGAAAAGATATTCTCTTTATTTTGCTACTGAACTATATTCCGAGCCGCATCTATTCAGATGAGCGGATAACCACAAGATTAACAAAAGAAGCATGTAGGGTGCATCTATTGACTATCAGATATGCCGACTATAATGTATTTATCTCATCTATCTTTAACTTAATTGGTCATACGGGGATGCAAAACTTTGTGCATAAAAGCACATACCATGATTAGTCTCTGAATCAGGAAAGAGATTGTCAACTGTGAAAACTTCTTCTTTGGCCGGATCATAGACAAGGGTTCTCGTGCCGTTGTATTTCATGAAAACTTTCTCATTCTTTTCTAGAGAGAAAAAAGTGAAGGCATACAAACCATCACCATCACAACCAAATTTGGACAAAGAGACCTCGAATGCTCTGAACCAAGACTCTCCATTTCCATATTTCTTCATACCCAAAACCTGAATCGTCTCTGTCTTGCTATCCAAACGAGCCATGCAAAAGCAATCATTTACAATTCCCATACCAACTATCCAATCGTCTTCTTCGCAATGACACGGCTTGGGAGAGGGCAATATTTTGAACGTCTCATTCATGGAATCAAAATAAGCAATCTTATTATTGCGATATCTAATATTGCAATAACATCGATTACTGCGATGTCCAGCGATATTCCTAACCGAATGCTTGACGTCGTGACATACCGACCAATGAAATGTATTGCGAAAGTTGACGCCCCTTGTCGCCGAGTCCATTTCCCGAGGGTGCCCCAAATCTTTCAGCACATTGCTTTTCAAGCACGCAAAACTCACATAGCGGTTTAGATGACCACGACGACACGGAGTTATAAGGTCGAGTAGAAGGACAACTTTGTAGTCTTTAATGGAGGCATCGTAACAAATTGAACCAGGAACATAAAAACAGTCTCTAACAAGGCAATCTTTAGTCTTTTTAAGATCAAACACAACTCTAAACCACCTCGTAAGTGGGTTCCACAGCAGTATCTTCTTCCCGGCCGCAACAAGAACAAGGCCATTACAGGAGCCCAAAATTCTTGGTCGGAATCCATCAAAGAATCTGAAGTCCTGACCGTCGAGGACGAATAGAGACGAGGATACCCATTGAAGGCTGAGATCGGGGTTGATTGACCTCACTATAAATCTCTCTTTGTCGCTGTTATCTTGACGGGATGAGATGACGAGAAGTTGCTGTTTTCCGGCACGGGCGTTCTTGATTTCGTTAACGAAGGCCTGCCATTCTTTCTTGACGGACATGCATCTGAACAGGCACTTCACCGGCAACAATGAAAATATATGGCGGCTCACCTCTCGAGGAAGCATTTGAAGTGGGTCTTTTCCGAATGCATCATCCATGGTTTCTGAGTGGATGGAAGCTGCAGGTTGGTAGGGTTTATTAAAATCTATAAATAAAGAAATAGAATTAGAGTTTACCTGGAGGCTGGAGGCGGAGCCTGGACGCAGGACGCAGAGGCGTAGAGCCGCAGTCCAGAGAAGAACGGCGGAGTGGGCGGACGACGCCGGCGGCGCGGCTGGCGGCCTGGTGTTCATGCCTTTGTCGCAGGGTCGCAGATCTTAGTCTCATGCTCAACCTCCAATTCAATCGTTCTTCGCACTTCAACCAATTGGCGTAAAGGAGATCGAAGCGCAGGTAAGGTCACTTAAGTCTGCTGGGCTGTGGGATTGGCTGGTAATTAAATTTGGGGTGGGCTGGAATTTAAGAGCCCTAGCACGCATGAAAATCGGCTGCTGAAATTATGAAGTTCTGGTTACAGTGGCTGCATTGGCTGATTCTGCTGATTTAAAAATATATTATTTTTTAAATATATTTTATTAATAAAATAAAGAAAACAGTATATGTAAAAATAGCTAAAACGGTCATCTACAGTAACTTCAGTCAATGCAGCTAGAAAAGTAACTTCAATCTTATTTTTTCAGCTTTTTACACAATTCTGCGAGAGAAAACAAAAGTTATGTGTTTGATGAAAAAATGGTTGACAAACCTGATAAGCCGAAAAACAATATTTTCAAACGGTCTCTAAACATATACACCAATCAATGTCTGTTGAGGATCTCATGTAAATCATATAAGCATTGAATTTGTCAAGTTGATGGGTGGGCTAATGTTTTGTAGCGGTTAGAGACGGATGCAATGTGTTAGGATGTTTTCTTTTGGAGTGAAATTTGCTGGTCTGGTCTAATCTGTTTAAATCTGGTCTTATCTGGTCTGAATTGGTCTGGTCTGATCTAATAAACGTCTGGTCTCAATGTATTTTATAACTATGGAAGTCTGATCAGGTCAGATCTTATCTGTTTAAGTCTGATCTGGTCTGGTCTGATCTGGAACTGAAAATAGTCCAAAACAAAACTATCCTTAGTAGTAGGGGTACGTGCCCTCAATAAATAAATGTTTTGAAAATATGTATAGAATAAAAAAATCTGAGTAAAAAAAAGTTTTTTTTGGACAATTCTTTCTAACCTATTTTTTTTTTTTGAGGTAATCTTTCTAACCTATATAGTATCTGCTCATTGTTAATGCCAACATCCTTGAACTGGGATGAGATTTGAACCTGTGACCTCCTCCTTGGGAGTGTCACAGTGATGTCATCAGACCACAAGGTACTTGGCAGTAAAAAAAAGTTATGCTCCAATCAAAATTTTACATTGCCTCCAATAATCTATATTCTATATAAATAATACATTTCAAAGATACAATTATAGAAACTTTTGCCACGTGTCATCATCTATATAAACCTTTTTTATAATATTTTAGATTCACTTTCCAATTTTGTATATTAATTGACTAATTTATTATGCTTCGTCACGTTAGGATTTATAGGTTGATTAGAATTGTTGTCAAACAAAAAAGTTAGATTAGAATTACCGTTAATTAGAATTGTAGTTAGTTTAAGAATGGTAGTTAGTTTAGTAGTAGGCTAATGGAATTCTACGGAGTGGTCTTATAAAAATCTCACTATTTTTTGAATTATATAACTTTTTCATTTATGATTCAATTTTTATAAGAAGAATATCAAAATTCATGATTTTTCATTATCTTTCATATGACATCAATATTACATATGTAAATAAAAACAATTTTGAACATAGGAAGTGGAAGGTTTAGGCTAACGATGTTTTCTGATCTGGTCAGGTTGGTCTGATCCGAGACTGAAAACAGTCCAAAAAAACATCTCAAGTATGATTTTACTTTGACTCTTTTTCAGTCTCAGACTGAACCAGACCAGACTTAACAAACCAGACCAGATCAAACGTAAACAGACCAGACCAGATCTGACCTGACCAGACCAGACCAGACTTAAATATACCATGCCAGACCAGACTTAACTTCCGTAGTTATAAAATACGCAGAGACCAGACGCTTACCAAACCAGAATAGACCAGACCAGACTTAAACAAATCGAACCAGACCAACCCAACAAATTACAGTTCAAGTAAAAATATCCCAAAAACTCTTTTGAAACAGTTCCGAACTTTAAAATTAAGATCTCATTATTTTATAGCGTAATTGCATGTTGCAATCAGGAGACATTTTATTATTGACATAAAGTGTTAAAAGAGACATTTTAAGTTCTAAAACATTTAGTTAAAAAACAATTCAATTGAGTCAACAAAACAACCCTATTATTAAGACTTTCTTAAAAACCCAAAAGCCAAAAGGACACCAGGCCAGCAAGTGAGAAAAAATTAGAAGCTACATCTTTGGGACCTCGAATTTAACAAAAAAGCTTTATAAAATGATTTTGCTTTTAGTTTTATTAATGAAAAATCACTTGTTTAGTCGATTATAACATTGGTATGAAGCCCACAACTACACGCCCTTAACAAGATTTTGTTTCAAATTCACTTTTAGGGCACCCCCATGTTCTTTAATGCATTATCGAAGAAATCTGGACAACTATTATAAAAATAATTTGTTTATGGTTCGTGGATTGATGTTTCAATGGAATTAGTTCTTATAAATCGTTCATATCATGAATCGTAAAACTTAAGAGATTTATCTAAATAACATAAAAATATTTATGTCTATTTTTAAATTACACCTCTCATATTCAGAAATGAAAAATGATCTCAATTTTCATGATCAAAAGTATTTATTAAATTAGGATATAATTGCTATATATGTAATTTATTAAAATTACACCCATGATTAAAAGAATTACCCTTAATAAATAATATTTATCTAGCTCTTAAACAACACTTTTAATGACATCAGGATATAATTGCTATATATGTAATTAATAAAGTTTTGCCGGAGTATGACAGTTTCTGAAATATAAGAAGACTGTTGGGTGTGTATTTCAGCTCAAGTCTCCAACCAAAACAACTCACACACACCACCCCAGGATTGTTTAGCCACTCCACCACTCACCAAGTTTAGCCCACTCTATTCTGACCTCTCTAGCTCTCACTCACAAAGAGGAACTCTCAAGGAGGAAGAAGACTCTAGCAAACTGCCTCACTCACACTATCACACCTCACACTCACTCAGTTCTATCACTCACAAAGAGGAAGGGGAAGCTGTCTACGCCACACTTGTATAAAGGGTAAGAGTCAACTCTTATAGCAAAGGAAAAGATGCCTTACTAATCAACTATAAGAGTAAGACAAACCAAGGGGAGCCCAACAAAGGCAGTAGATAGAATAGCAACGGGTAGAATAATAACAGGGCCATGTGATTAGGTAGTGAACAAACTCAAGAGGAAATAATAGGAGTACGACTAAACTTAGGGTGCAGGCCTTAACACGAATAAGTGGAAGGGAGACCTTGGCAGAACCAATACATCCAACATTCTCCACCTTATTGGTCCTAGGTGGTGTAGAGTAACAAGTACACGGTTGTGAGGAGACTCATCATCGCTGAACCATTACAAGTACATCATTGCGATCATACAAGTAATAGATGAGAACCAAAGTTCCCTTTCAGACCAAGCTTACCGTGCAAACCCACTTCACGATGGACTGAACTCTACCAATCGGTCCTCGAGTTCAGAACCAAAACCATCACAAAACTATTAACAAGCACAACACATGTTAATAGACCACGCAAGCAAGTATCCGGGAGAAGTTGAGGATTCCAACTAATCCAACAACCACACAAAGCAAGTACACAGAAAATAAAAGAAACAATATTATTTCTATAACTAGCACAGACAGAGCTCACATAATCACTTGGTATCACATTTTCAAAACACACAGAAAATAGCATACCAAATATCACAAAAATTTTAATTAAAAGAGAATTAAGCACATTTAAAGCAGACTCAGAGGAAATATAGTCAAACACATTGCACATATTATTTCTCTCATGCTCCCTAATGTCTTTATCTCTAATAACAGGGCAATCACGCAACTCAAGCATATTGCACGCAACATTCATATCATGCTCCACCTTAATAGAAATATTATTTTCTTTATTTTCACCATGAAAATCATTTTCATCCACAAATTTGGGTTTGGTTTCAACAAGTAAATCAGAATGAACATCAGGCAAATGCTCCACGTCATTTGGAGCAACATCAGGAGAAACAAGCAAGCAAGGAAATTCAATTTCGACAAAAATTACATTTCTACTCATCAACACATTGAAGCAAGTTTCACTCCTACACCAAAGCCTATAACCTTTCATGCAATCATGATATCCTAAGAAAACATATTCCTCAGTCCTAGGTTCAGATTTATCATTCACACGATTCACATAAACAGCACAGCCAAACACTCTCAAATCTGGCAAGTCAAGTGGTTTGCCCATGAACACAGATTCAGGGCATTTCCCTCCTAAGGGAACAGACGGGGACAGATTAGTCAAATCAACAACATAACAAATAGCTTCCCCCCCCAAAACTTATTAGAGAGCCCAGATGAAGCTAACATAGCCCTCACCCTCTCTAATAAAGTCCTAACCATCCTCTCAGCAACCCCATCCGGTTGGGGTGGGGAGCGAACAAATTTATGCAAAGAAATACCCTACTTTAAGACGAATAAGTGGAAGGGAGACCTTGGCAGGACCAATACCTCCAACAAAGACATTGGTAAGAGATAAACTCATTGAATAGGAATAGTAGTGCATAATGGCCTACTTTAATATCTACTATTAAACTAAACTTTTAGTACAAATTTCTTCTACATTTAGATATTCTAACCAAAAAATTGCTACCTTTCAAAGATTTACAAAGAGATAATTGATAATAAACAAATGACATTTCGTATACTATTAAGTCTTTGGGCAAAGAATTTGTCATCTTCATTCCATTCCTGAATTTTAGGTTTCATAATTAGCAATTTAATATATGTAACTTTGTTTTCTAGGTTCTAGTTAGTTTTTGAGGAGCGAGATTTTGCCCTAGCGAGAGCTGAGGGCCGAGCGACTTCGCTGTCATTGTGCGGCGCAGTTTTTTAGCCGATCAGAAGAACCGAGGGGTGAGCCTCGGACGGCTGTCG